GAATGAATGTACTGCTAGAACATGGAAATGTACACTGCCACACGTGTGTGTGTTTGTGTGTGTGTGTGTGTGCGTGTGTGTGTGTGTGCGTGTGTGTGTGTGTGTGTGTGCGACACACACACACACACACACACACACACACACACACACACATACATACACACATTCCCTTGAGTGCCTTGGCGATAGGGGCACATTGAAAAGATCGATGGTACCGGTAGGGGCATATCAAAAATTTCACCAATAGGTATCCGGTAGGGGCATGATGCAAATTTGAAGCGGGTACGGTAGGGGCACTACGAAAACATATGAGGCCCAAATGACACCAAGGTTTTATGGGAAATTTGACATATGGTCAGAGGGGCGCGGCGGGGTAAATCGGTTGTCGGAGGGCTGCGACGCAAATTAATGGAAAATACAAGGGCGCCAGACAAATATTCCCCAAAATGAAAACGGGAGGACAAAAAAAAAAAGAAAAAAAGAAAAAAATGCAATTAGAAACTATAACCCTGATTGCGTCGTAGTTTCATTATTGACCCCCCTACCACACTCTGCGATGTTAAGGTTTGGACACACAGGCACATCCTGACATGCCAGCAACCTGACGTCGGATACACTTTAAAAGAAAACAGTCCCCAAACACAAATAGGGACCCGGTCCACTTGAATGGTTACGTCGTTAGGCAATTGGGTATTTCAAAAATTGTGCTCGGGTTCAAACCCCAACACTAGCGATATAACCGAACTTCGAATACTTGCTAACATATATATGTGTGTGTGTATGTGTGTGTGCGTGCCTGCATGCATGGGTGGGTCGGTGGGTGTGGGTGTATGTGTGTGCAGGCGGGCGGGGGGAGGCGGGCCCTCCAACTTTTTCTTTCTGCCCACGGCGCCCACAGAAAACGCCGAAGGGCAAAACAAAAGGAAACAACAAAACGACACGAAACAAAAAGCAGGAAAAAAAAAAAAAAAGCTCCGCCACTTTTCAGAACATAGTCCAAAATTTTTTCATTTCTTTTTTTTTGTCTTAGGGTGTTCGTCGTCAGGCCGCATGTGGTTTTCCTTGCAAAATCGCGGGAAAAGTGGAGGCCGCCAATTTCCATAACACAATCGTTTTTTTTTTTTTGCATTTTTATTTCGTGATTGACTTGTCCGTGAAGTGTGTTGCCGCTACTCCACTGTTATGATGAGGCCGTCAGAGTAACGCAGGGATTTTGCTGGCAGGTTCTTTGCTTTGCAATACTTTGCAATTCCGAAAAGAAAAAAAATGGTTTTTTTTAATGTTTTTAAATGCAAAACGGGCGCCACACACCGTTTTACGCATTGCTAGTCGGTCCCGCTACCGTCACACCACTCCACATACATCGTTAGTGGATTCTCCCTCCAGGCCCCTGGTCACCTGTGGATATATCTAAAGACTGTCGCTCTTTAAAAAAAAATAAAAAATTAGGGGAAACCGGTAGGACCGGACCACAGGTCCATGAGGGCTACCGGTAGTATAGGGGGGGGAGCTGGCAGAGTGACAAAATTCAAAATTTGCATTGAATTCCCTCACGATTTATTTTGCAGTTGAAATGATTTTTCCTATTTGTTTTAATATTTTT